GTGTTGAGGTTCTTGTCCACCTTGCAGAAGGTGTGGGGCGCGCTCTCGCCCTTGCTGGGCATGATGAGGGAGATGTCGGTGACGCCCAGCGTGTGGAGGGCCTGCGAGTCAGGCGCCCGGCGGTAGGTGAGGAAGGTGCGATGGGTGCCCGGGCCCCCCGAGCTCAGGTTGGCGGAGCGGCTGTAGGGCGTGGTCTCGATGACGTGCCACCCCGTCTTCGCCGCCTCCTTCCCCTCGTACAGCACCCTGCGCCAACCAGCGGGCAGACAGTGAGGAGACACAGGCGCTGCATGCCAAGCCGTGCCCTCTACAGTGCAGAGAGGACCCACTGCTGCCCTCTGGCTCTGCAAGCACCCCTTTCCTAAAAGAGAGGGCCTCGGCTCTGCAGCGCCAACAGAGCTCTCTGGTCATTTACCACCACAATACGGAGAACAACACTTTGCTCATAATGCTTATAATGTTAGTCAGCTACTGTCCTGTGAAAAGTAGGCAGCCTAGAGCAATGAAGTTCAGGTGGGTAGCTGCGTCAGCATGCGTAGGCTGCAAAGGAACAAGTAATAGGTTTATTCCATGCTGAAAAAAAGAAGAAAGAGAACACAACGTTTCGGCCGTGTGAGCACATGAAGAAAGCTCCACGGCCGAAACGTTGTGTTCTCTTTCTTCTTTTTTTCAGCATGGAATAAACCTATTACTTGTTCCTAGAGCAATGAAGTCTAGTTTACATTCCAAAGGGCACCAAGACCTTGTACTGCTGTGTGACACTGTAGCATGGCCTCCCCCCATAGGGGGCAGGGACTGCGGACACAGCGAGGTCACGGGCCCCATCTCTATGAGCTGCCGGGAAGCAAATTTCACTGCTTCACAGTGCCCAGCCTCCACAGCGAGGAGGTTACACCATCGCAGCACAGTCCTCCGGCCCGCTCTGCCTGAAGACTCCCAGAAGTCTTTCCCAAAGTGTCCGCTTCTGGAATACTGAGCCCCAAACTTTAAAAATCAGCGACCGACACAAAGCACGCTGGGGGCAGTGCAGGAGCAGCCTGAATCCAGACATCGCCATCTGTTGCACGACGTCTTTTCCTGCCCCACAGCAGCCAGTTGACCGCCAATTACAATTGATGAGTAACTGAATCATTTCATTAAGGAGCCTGCTGAGAAGACATTCAATTAAGAAACGTGTTGGGCATCCAGTCATTCAGAGACTGGAGACTACAGATGGCAGAAAGTGCCTCTGTCAAGTGCGACGATGAACTTTCCACTGCTGTGGTCAAGACAGCTAACCAGATTAGGCACAAAAAAGGCACAGCATAGATAGATGAGACTTTATTGATCCCGAAGGGAAATCGATTCTGGGAGTTTACAGGCAGAGCAGGCCAGGGGACTATGCATCAGGCCTGTGACTTATTGCTGCAACGGTATAATGAATCAATCTCAAACATCCGATTGGTTCGCTCTGCAATTCCGAAGCGGGTCTGGATCAGATTTTGCCCCTGCAGTGCCCCGGTGCCAGGCTGTGCCCCTCCACTCACCCCAGTTCCAGGATGGGCGCCTTGTCGTGCCCTCTCTTGTAGCAGAGGAACATGTGGGGGTTGTTGATGAAGCCGGCGCTGAGCTCGGCCGGATGCCCGCCCTGGGTCTTCTCGATGCAGGTGAAGCCCTCGGGCACTTCCTCGCCCAGCGCGCGGGCGATCACGGCCAGCTCGGTCACGGGCAGCACGGGGCGGGACGCCCGCTGCTGCCCCTCCTCGTCCAGGGGGGCCGAGCTGCCCGTCAGCCCCGCCACCACGAAATAGTCTACCAACTGCGGGCATTTCTCCTCTGTCATGCCTCCTGTGTGCCCGCTGCTCCTGCAACACAGGAAAGGGGCACTGAAAACGGGCACCCTCTGCACCGTGCCAGTGGGGCTCCCGGCAAACGGCATCTCTGCCCTCTCCTGGTCCTGGAGGGCCTGGCTGCCAGCAGGTTGGTATTCCAGCTCCCTCCTGGATCAGCCGGAGCTCTTCCCACTTCCTCCACCTCCGCAGGACCTAGAAAACCCGGGTCCACCCCCCACCTTTCTGGAAGGAGGAAACAGCAAGTACGGAGCTTCCCTGGGTCATAAAACCACACCGCTCTGAGGAAGCCAGGCCTGAGCCCTCCAGATAACAGGCACGAGGGTTCGGTGCAGAGGACGGCTGTGAAATGCGAAATTCACACACAACCAAGTCCATCCCTATACTGACATACTGTAGAATATACTACAGTACTGTAATTTAGGGCGGAGCGGTGGCTCTGTGGCTCAGGATCTGCTCCTGTGGCTGGGAGGTTGCCGGTTCAAATCCCACAGCCGGCAGAGGAATCCTACTCCGTTGGGCCCCTGAGCAAGGCCCTGAACCCCAACTGCTCCAGGGGCGCTGTAAAATGGCTGACCCTGCGCTCTGACCCCCAGCTTCTCTCCCTGTCTGTGTGTCTCATGGAGAGCAAGCTGGGGTATGCAAAAAGACAAATTCCTAATGCAAGAAATTGTAAAGGGTTAATAAAGTGCTGTTATATACAGTAGCTTGCATGGATGAGATTTAATAACCGTCCCTTACGTGATAATTAAATCACTAATGCACTGGCTTTAAGTTCATTTAAATAACACTGATTAAAGGAAACAGCAGTGAACCCTGTTAAGGGTTAACAGTTAGGCCCTCCAGAGCTGTCTCACTGTTCTGTACACTCCTGGCAGGCCAGGATTCCTCAAGGTCTCTCGAGTGGAGGTGTAACTCCTGTGTCCTACCTGTGATTAGCAACATGAAACGAACAGGGTCTTAGCTGATTAGGGTCTTGGTTAATTGCCCAAGGCTGACCTAACAGCCTAACGTTCTGACCTCGTTTATATGGTAAGAAACTGCTACTGACCAATCCTAACTGTTTGTTTCTGTATGAGCGTTTCGCTCATCTTCAAGAATAGAAGCTCAGGAAAGTGAGCGAGAGACGAGGTTAACCTCTTAACTTCATCTGTCCTCGTTTCTTCATTGCAATACAAAAACTCTCCGACTTGATTCACCGGAAAAGGGTCTAACAGCAGTCATCACTAACTGACAGCAATCCGCTGACATTTACAGAAAGAATCTCTCCTCAGCTTCCGCGGTTATCACGCCACGCAGGAATGAAAAGGGCGATAAATCACAGAACCAGACGCGCGCGCCAGGGTCCAGAAACGAGCCCGGTTTGAGATGCAGACGCTGGGAGTGTGTACTTGGGCAAAGGGCAGTGAAGCCTCGTTCACTGGCAGGAGTCGTCTCGTATCCCTCGAATGCTGCACCACAGATCTGAAAACTGTGCTTAAGCTTCGGTTCCGCTTTCATCTTACTTTGCTCTTCATTAGTCCAAACGCCCATCGGCCAGACCGAATCGCTGTACTACTACACAGTATTTCCACTGCTATTTATTTCACACACACAAAAACCTCAAGAGTTCATTTCTCCTCTTTGTTTCACAGTGACATCTCCAGTCCCAGTTCTGGAAGACTGGGAAGTTGGTAGGTTTTCTCTCAATTCTTCAGCTAAATCCGTTAAGTACTTGCTTAGCGAGAACAATTTAACAGCATTTCAGGCACTCAAGCCCTGCAGGACTGAAAACTGCTTTCCAAGAGGATCTGAGGAACACTCCTGAAGTTCCAGCCCAGTTAAGAGTCACTGTCAAGACTAGATGTAAGCTAGCATCTTTATAATTAAAGCAGAGTTGATTGTGAGGCTATAATTCTCCAACTCCCAGTTTCAACCAGCTCATTTCATACGACTGTTCCACTTTTTCACAGCTCCGCTGTCTCCTCCCACATATTCACCTCTCCACTCCAAGAGGAAAACAAAATCTAGACAGCTCTGAAGACAGCCCAGCCATTCTGTTTTGACAAAACGTTCATATATTGAGCGCACAGGAACTGACTCTACTGCCCATAACCATGGGCTAAAGCCAAAGCAGGAAGCGCTCTCCAGCATCATGCTTCCTGTCTGCGCGCTCATCAAGAACTTCCCAGGAAACAATAGGGCAGGCAGAATGGTTCCCCTGGGGAGAACCTGCAGGAATGAACAATAGACTGAGGAGGAAGTGAACACAGACCCCTGCCATGTCAAACAGTGGAAACTGTGTAGTCTTTTCCACAAATCTCCAGAACAGAGCTGCCAATGATGTAAACATTCTGTCTGCTAGTGAAAGGGGGGTGGGCTCACATTCACCTATTGATATAATACCTGGACTTTCTTGTCACATTTAAGAGGATTTGATTGTTTCCCTGATTTATAAATGGAAGCTGGGACTGCCACTTGGAAAGCTACAGATGCTAGCTCTTCCAGAGAGGACCCACTGCGTCACACAGCATGCGCCTAGAGTGACCACATGTCCGTCCCTCTGTCCAGCATCTCGAGTATCCCACGCAGGTAGGACCAGGGGGCACAGTGGGGGCAGGCTCATACTTCCCGGCTACAAGCTGCGGTGCTCGTGTCCCGTGCCACCATAAGGAACTGTCTGTGAATCCTCCCATTGGATTTTTCTCATTAGTCCTGTGTGCAACCAATGGGGCTGGGCGAGACCTGCAGGACATCACCACTGATAGACAGCTCAGCGTCTCACAGCGTAGGAACACGACAGGAAGTCACCCAGGGGGATTATGGGAGATGTAGTTCTCAGAGGTAGTGCAAGCTACCTCAGCCAGCTAGGTTATACGCGCAAGAATAAAGCTCTATTACCGTCCACTAGTTCTGCGTACAGACCAGCACTCTGCAGTTGGCACTTGGTTGCTTTGACTATCGTCTACTTTCTGAACGGGTGGTTGCATCCTCACACAATTCAAAACATAAATTGTTTAAAATGCAGAAGGCAGATTTTTTGGAACGTCAATCAGATTAAACCATTTGGGGGCCCTGACAACCTTAAACTTATTCAAACTCTTCAGGGAAATGCAGTTAATATTATATGAATATTTTAACATGAATCCTTTAAGGCCTGATCATGCCAGATCTGATGCATGAAGTAAACCAGTCAGCAGCTCCGTCACCCCTGCAGCTCCCAGCTGGCAGCCCCACTGGAGCTCAGCAGGTGTGAGCCTGGCCAGTACCTGGAGGGGAGACTCCTGGGTCAAGCCCGTCCCAAATTTACTGCCGTGGGCTGGAACCTCCGACGTCAATATCGTCCAGCTCCTTGACTGGCTGAGCAACGCAGGAGCTGCTTCTGATGGGTCATGGGATGCCTACATTCTCGTCTTTCCCCTTCTGTCTTAAGAAAATAATGATGGAACAAGCAATAATAATAATAATAATAATAATAATAATAATAGCTTACACTTATATAGCACTTTTCTGGACAGTCCACTCACAGGTACTTCACAGGTCATGGGGATCCCCTCCACCACCACCACCAGTGTGCAGCCCCACCTGGATGATGCGCCAGTTTGCTCTCCACACACCAGCTCTCAGTGGGGAGGAGAGCAGAGTGATGGAGCCAGTTCAGAGAGGGGGGTTATTAGGAGGCCATGACTGGTAAAGGCCAGGGGGGGAATTCAGTTGTGCAGGGAGATGCTAAGGTGTTGCCTCACATCTCCACTAGGAGTCCATCCAGAAAACAGCAGCCAGTGATCTGGGTCTTAAAGCATTGTGTCACACAGCCCAGTGGTGCTGTAGCTCAGAGCCAACAGAGCACTCAGACTGGAGGATCCGTGGAGAAACAGGGATCTGAGGACATGGGCGTTAGTTAAGAACCTTTCTCTTTGGGAATTCTGTCCTGATCTGCGTCTGTAGCCAGGGTGGTAGGATCGCGTGTTGCTGCGTGAACAGCAGCTCCGTGCTCGTGCGGAAAGCAGAGGATGAGACTGGGGTCACACCCCTACTCTTTTCGAGAAACGCCCTGGGATTTTACATGACCGCAGAGAGTCAGGACCTCGGTTTTACGTCTCATCTGAAGGACGGCGCTTTTGTAGTGTTTTTCTTGCAAAATACAAGACCCCACCTTAACACTGCTGCTCACCACAGAGAGCGAGTCTCAGCGTCTCTGAGAATTTCCATTCTTCTGTTCGGCGCAGCCGAGCTCGCTCTCTGCTCGTCTCTGCCTACGGGCTCAGTTTCCTGTTTTCTCTCTGCCTGCCTGTTTCCTGCGAGGCGGTCTGACCTCCAGTGAAAGAAAGCACAGAGCGCGAGAGTAACCAAGCGTTACTCAGATCCTAAAAATACCTGTCACAACATTTGGGACAGCAGAGGACCATCAATGCTCAACGTTTCGTTGCAAAAACTGGCACAGCTGTCACAGGAGAGGAACTGGATGATGATCCCAGACTGCCAATAGCAGAAGGACACTGCTGAATGCCATTTTCAGAGGAATCTAGGAAAGAAACAGGTTAATGGGAGCTCACGGATACCCAGATTCTGCACAAACAGGTTTTCAACAGGTCTGAGATTTGATTTGTCTAATCTACTCCACCCTACTCCCCAACTCGCAACCTTTGCTCCTCTAATTCTGGTCTCCTAACTGTCCCCCGAGCATGTCTAATGGGCCTTCTCCCGTTATGCCCCCAAGCTCTGGAACTCTCTCCCCAAGGATATCAGACTCACCTTCTCTAAACTCCTTCAAATCCAAACTCACAACCTTCTTCCTTAGAAGAGCCTTTTCTGAACTGGTTCTGTTCTTTACCCCTCTGCTCCTACTGTATTCAGTACCACCATCCACTGTCTCCACTGCATATTCTCATGTTTATCTTGTGTATTTTGTGTTGTTTATTGTGTATTTTTTATTGTGTTTTTTTAAATTGCTGTTGTTGCTGTTGCCATTATGTAAAGCGCTTTGAGAAGCCACCTTTAAAGGCGCTATTTAAAATAAAGTTTTTTTCTTATTT